AAAAAGGGGGGTTTTGGGGTAAAAAATGGGGGTTTTGGGGTAAAAAATGGGGTTTGGAGGGGGGGAAATGGGGCCCGCAGCTCCTGCGGCGACAGCGGCTTGAAGCACGGGGGGGGCGTGGAAATACAGCTTGCTTTGGGGCAAAAAACAGAGATTTTGGGAAAAAGGTGAATTGTGAGAGGGAAAAAGGGGGGTTTTGGGGTAAAAAATGGGGGTTTTGGGGTAAAAATTGGGGGTTTTGGGGTAAAAAATGGGGTTTGGAGGGGGGGAAATGGGACCCGCAGCTCCCACGGCAACAGTGGCTTGGAGCACGACGGGGCGCAGAAATACAGCTCGCTTTGGGGCGGAAAACGGGGATTTTGGGAAAAAATGGAATTGGAGAAGAGAAAATTGGGGTTTGGAGTAAAAAAATGGGAGATTTGGGGTAAAAATTGGGGTTTTGAGGTAAAAAATGGGGTTTGTAGGGGGAAAAATAAGGGAGAACTGGGGAAGAATTGGGGGAAAAAGGAAGGAAAATGAGAGAAAATGGGGGAAAAATGAGGAGAAAAGGGGATTTTGGGGGGTTTGGGATTCTGGGGTGCCCAGGAATTGGGTCTGGGGTCCCCAGGGCCCTGCCCAGACTCACAAGCGCCGCAGCAGCTCCGGGGGGTACTGATTCTGGGGGGTCCTGGGGGCGCCCCCGGCCCGGCCCCGCTGCTCCAGCAGCAGCCGATGCTCCAGGTAAACGTCCAGGGGGTCCCGGGGGGCAGCCTGGGATGAGGGGAAATTTGGGGAGGGGGCTTGGGGACCCTCACCCGAAATTATCCCAGAATTCCACCCAAAATTACCAAAAAATCCCATTTAAAACAACTGAAAATCACCCCAAAATGTCCCAGGTAAATGTCCACGGGGTCCCGAGGGGCGGCCTGGGATGAGGGGAAATTTGGGGAGGGGGCTAAGGGGGAAACTGGGACACCCCTCACCCAAAATTATCCCAGAATTCCACCCAAAATTACCAAAATATCGCACCCAAAACACCCCAAAATGTCCCAGGTAAACGTCCAGGGGGTCCCGGGGGAAGAAATTTGGGGAGGGGGCTCAGGGGACCTCACCCAAACTTTTCCCAAAATTATCACAAAATCCCACCCAAAACCACCAAAAAACACCCCAAAACCACCCAAAATCACCAAAAACCCCTCCAAACCCCAACCCTAAAATGTCACACAGATCCCCTCAGGACCCCCTAAAATCCCCCAAAATCTCCCAAAAACCCCAAAAGTGTCCCAAAACCCCCAATTTGGGGCTCCCTGGCCTCAGTGGAGCACTGGACATTGACCCCCCCACCCATGACCCTAAAACCCCCCAAAATACCCCAAAACCTCCTGAAAACCCCCCAAAATCCTCTGAAACCCCCAGAAATCTCCCCAAAATCCTGAATTTGGGGCTGCTGACCTCAGCAGAGCCAAACTGGGCCAGCAGCTCCTGGGCAGCATCTGATCCTAAAACCCCCGAAAAACCCTAAAGACCCCCAAAATCTCCCAAAAAAACCCCAAAATTCCCAAATTCGGGGCTCATCAGAGCCGAAGAGGGGCAGCAACTCGTGCACGGCGTCCGAGCAGACGCGGCCGTAGCGCCGGACGTTGACCCCTATTGACCCCTATGACCCTAAACACCCCCAGTAACCTCCCAAAAACCCCTAAAAACGCCCAAAATTTCCCAAAAAATGGGAATTTGGGGCTGCTGACCTCATCAGAGCCGAAGAGGGGCAGCAGCTC